CATTAAGTGAGTTTAGTGGCTCAATTTTGAGGGCCACATAAGAACTAACTAGTAAGCGACAAGCCATTTGGCTCTAAGCAGTTTGATGCTTTAGTTTACTTGTAGTTGCATGAATAAACTATAGAAAGCCCTAGTTTGTTCACAATTAATGGTTTGATGAACTCAATTTAGGCTTTTATGATGACATGATCAACTTGACCTAAACAACAATGAGAATACATGTCAAATAGTGTAGGATAATATAAAGCATAAAGGGTTTGGAAAGCATATAGAAACCAAAAAAGTGGTGGAAGAGGATGTAGAAGATTTTGGATGAAGAGATTAGAAAAAGGAGGAAGAAGATGTCATTGACTCAAAAAAAGATTACTAATCTTTGTTCGCATTGATTGTTTTTTTTTTTTTAAGGGTTTCTTATTCAAAGAAACCCTTTCAAAAATTAACGTTGATTGTAAGACAATCATTGCTTTTTTTGAAGGGTTTTTTGTTCGCATTGATTGTATGAATTGCTTGAATACTATCCTACATTTAATTCATTTATCTTTTTATAGCAACTTGCAAGTATCCAATGATTCTGATTTAAAGCATATGGTGAGACCTAAGAAGATGTGATGCAGCTATTATGATCCATAAATAAAACTTTCATTTTATCTTATAAAATGTTTAAACTAATTATTATGGAAAACTAATATGCTTTAAAAACATTTATATGCTAAATATTATATATGTTATCTTTGGTTGACTCGAATCAAAGTTTTTACGAGGATTAAACTCAAAATATGTTTCAATCATTAAGTATTATTTAGCACTCCAATACATTAGATGCACTCCCAAGTTCCAAATGCCAATTTTCACAAACCCTACAAACTCTTGCTTCCTCTCAATTCTCAGTCTTTTTTTTTTCTGAAATTTGCAAATTGCATTAAACCAAAAAAGAGCTAAGTACAAGTACTAAAGGGATCACATTCCTCCTTTTACAATCTAAGCAATGAAGGAGGAATGTTGCAAAAAGAAAGCTATCAAAAATAAAACTATTTTCTAAAGCAAGAGTAGCACATAAATCTGCTACTTTATTACAATTTCTATTAACATGATGAAAAATGATTTTATTGAAATCATTTAGAAAGAATATCTCCTTTTCCACCCAATTATCCAATTTCCATTTAGGCGTATTCATTGAATCTTGAATGAATTTGATTGTGTTAAGATTATCACTTTCAATGATAACCCCTTTGCTCTCCATCATCCATCATTGTATGAACTCTCTTATTGCTAGTACCACCTCCATCTCCAACTGTGAAACATCCCAATGAACTCTTGTCTTACCAAATGCAAGAAGCAGCCTTCCTTTATGGTCTCTAAATACACCTCCAATTCCAGCTTGTCGAACTTAAGATAGAAGCATCAACATTATTTTTTATCCAATCAAGAGGTGGAGGGTGGCAAGTTTCATGAGACTCCCTTGGGTGATTAACAACCCAGTTATCTAGTATTGGACTTTATTCTATCATGGTTATAGACAATACATTTGCTACAACCTTTGAACAAGAAAGAGCAGATTTTCCATGCTTCACCTCATTCCAGTTCTTCCAAGATAAAAAAACATATGTACAATACATCTTAACAACACTATTATATTTAGACGATAGCCTTCTTAGTTCCACGAAACAATTTTCTAATGAAAAGAACATCGGAATAGTAAATCCCCATTCTCTAAGCTTTAAAATAACATCCTTTAGATACTTGCAATGAACAACAATATGAGAATATCTTTCAATCTCCTGACATCCTCTAACACATAACTCATCATTTCTTAGCCTTCTATATCTGAGAAATTAATTTGTAGGAATTAAATTTTTTCTCCATCTCCACCAAAATAATTCCACTCTTGGATTAAGTTTCAGTTTCTTAATCCATTCATTAATACCACAATCATCCTCCTTGATATTAGCTTTCATCAATTTTACATAAGCCAAGGCAGTTATGGATATGTCTGAATGTTGAAACATAGCTTCCATTTGATCATCCTCATGAATGGAGCCAATATGAATATGCACAATCAACATTATAAGTTCATGATGAAAAAAATCATTACAATTCTGTGTCATTCCAGCTGCCATCCATATTTATAAATTAGCTGAGCATTATTCCATCCAATTCCCCACAATTGAAAAATGTTGGGCACATGTTTAGACATTTGTCAAGTAACTATATGTCCATCAGCATATTGATTTTCCTTCCATTACACACTTTTTCATTTGACAATGGGCTTAATATGTTTACCTCCATCTACAAGAATCTGACACGTACTAGAAGCATTCTTCTTACATTCCCCATTCAAAATATTATCACCATATGTCAAAATTAGATTTCTATGGAGTAATGAATATGGATTGTTGATAGCATTGTATGCCAATCTCGCTCTGAGTGGACCTGTTCTGTGGATTGCAGAATGAATTCCCAACCCCCCAACACTTCTCAGTTAACAGATATCCTCCCAAGCCACATAGTGTAGACCTCTTTTTCAATTTGGTTTGTGCCAAATGAAATCTCTACTAAACTTCTCCATCTCATGCAGTAATTTTTTTGGAACCAAAGAATGTGTTATCAAAAAGTTTGGGAATGATAACAAAGACGACTTTACCAAGATTATCCTTCCTCCCATAGATAAAGTCTTACTTCCCCAAGCATTTTGTTTATCCAAGACATGATTAAAAAAATCTTGAAAATCAGTCATACCCAACCTTCTCAAAATGATTTTAATTCCCAAGTACTTCATTTCCTTTACAACTTTATAACCAAGTCTTCTAGCAAGTTTATGCTTAACGGATCGTTTGACAAACTTACCAAATATAATTTGAGATTTGTTGATATTAACCCATAGTCTAGTAAAATTCCACAATAATTGTCTTCATTAATCCAGCTAAATGAAATTTTGCTTGAGCAAAAAGTAGCACATCATCGTCATATAAAAGATGGGTGATCTTCTCACTTCTTGGTGACACCTGAACCCCCAAGTCATGTCCCCTTTTGTTTAATTTCACTTGATAAGAGTTGAGAATACATGATGAACAAGTAAGGTGATAATGGACACCCCTGACGAAAACCACTTCTAGCATTTATCCATCTTGTGTTCCTTCCATTCAATATAATAGAAAACCTTGCCTTCCTTACACATTCCATAATGAGATCAGAAGATGGAAACCCATACCATAAAAGAATTTGTTGTAGTGTTGGCCATCCCATACTATCATAAGTCTGCTACATATCCAATTTGATTGTCATCAAGTCATTTTTGTTATTAGATATTCTAAATTTATTGAATATCTCTTGAGTCAATAAATAATGTTCTGATATGGTTCTAACAGGAATGAATGTCATTTGTTCTTCAAAAATGATGTTTGATATGCATACTTTAATTCTACTTACCATCATATTTGCAACTATCTTATATGTGGTTTGACATAGACTTATTGGCCTATAATTGGATGGCAAGATCGGGTTCTTTACTTTAGGAATTAACACAACCAAAGTTTCTTTCAATTCCTTATGCATCACTCCGGTCTTAAAGAACCCATTAACAGCTTTCCAAGTAACTTCCTTAACAATGCTCCAATAGAACTTGAAGAAAGAAGAAGTCACCACATCAATGCCCGATGACTTATTGTTTCCCTGTTGAAAAATTGCATTCTTAAACTCCTCTTCAGTGAACTCAGCCCTCAGCATTTTTTATTCCATAAGCATTAATTTCTGATTTTCATATATCAAAGGCCAATCATTAAGTTTGCAATCTTTGGTTCCCCACTTCTTATAAAAGAATTTCAAAAAAACTTCTTCAATTTGCTCAAACTCCTCTAGCATATTTTTGTTCTCATCTTTAATTTGCCTAACAATATTCTCATTCCTTCTTGTCGAGGCAAAACTATGAAAGAATCTAGAGTTTGTGTCTCCTTCATCATGCCATCTTACCTTAGCCCTTTGGTTCCACCATTTAAATAATCTTCTTAATGCAATATTTAACTCATGAACCTTATTTCAGAGAAGTATTAAGTTTTCCAAAGTGATACCTGCATCCATGGCCTCCTCAATTTGTAGCTCCAATATTTCCTTCTTTAATTGGTCTTTAAGCAAGCATAAGTCCTTACATTTATTCTTGTTCCAAAAGAAGCTCCAAAAGTCTCACTCTATTCGACCGCATGATTGTCCACCATTGCAACAAAAGCTTTCACATAGCGCAAGGCCAATTGTCTTGCACTAGCTCAGTAGAATATTAATGAGACACTCAATTGCCTTACACTACTTAAACTCTATTTCAACTCAGCTGCCTCTTATGTAGCGACAGGTATGCTCAACAGCTTATCATTTATCATTTGTCATGGGACACTCCTACCGCCACATCAAAGACAACTAAAAACAGCTAAGTCAAAAATAGAGTAAAATTACACTTGGCATTGAAAGTTAAAAATCCCCTTGGCATTTTTATTACCCACGTTAATGTTAAAATTTCTCGTTTATAATAGTTCAAGTAAAGTAAATCATTTACATCTGTTTTTATCGTATTGATTTAAACTTTGTTCAAACCATATGATCTTTTTTTTTTTGGTGACAAAACTGAAAATCAAACCAATCACTTTTCTTCTTTCATTGGATATCTTTTTAATTTTAAAAGTTCAATTTGAATTCAAATATAACTCAATTCGGAATCAAATCAAATCGAGCCCACATCCATTTCATTTCACATCCCTTGCTTCATGATAATAAATGAAAATTATAGTTCATAAAAAAAAAAATTACTCTTGTAGCGACTACTTATATAGGACCAAGGCGTCACTGTAAAGCCCTATATATCGAGTATTAACACAGTTTATTTTTTGTATGACAATAGCTCAACGGAATTAATGGCAGCAATGCAAACATTTTTCTCAAATTTTATCTTGAGTAGATCCTGTTATTGTCATTTTTCATGATTCCAGCAAACAATTGAACTAAAAAATGCCGCTAGATGCAATTCTAAACCAGCCTACAGGATTCAACATTTATAAATTAATCAAAATTTCGATACGAAAGGGAAGCTTACAGCTGCACTTAGCAATTAAACAAACAGGCTGAAAGAAGACCAACAAGATCCATGTACAACCCTAAAATAAATGAAAGGCCGTTAGGCAATTTATATTATGTAACTAATACTAAAGAAAAACATTTTCTGCATCTACATTCTTCGAACAGAAAAATAATCCTTAAACGGAATTTTACTCAATATGCAAAGCTGGCTCAGGGACTTAAATCTGGCCATTTGCATAGGTTGATACATCATCACCATCGTGAACTTCAGACATTGCATTATCAACTAGTACCTGCTTGACAAATATTAGCGTCAAGACGTTCACTTATTTGGAAGCATGCAACAAGCATCCATATATATATAGCGTCTTACATCACGATCCAATTAGAATTTAATTGACCTCAGCCTTCAAAATTCTATTATGGTGAAATCCACATTATGCCTCCTTAGTTGACATGCTCTCTTAATCACATATGTTATTTGCATTAATGCCTTACTTTGTGTGCAAAATGAGATGTTAATTTTACTTAAGAAACAAATTTCTTCCACAACTTCTATGCACGCTATCTTTAATTCAAGTATGTTTTTTTTTTCTATTTCTTTCCAAGTATTTTTATTTTATTGGTGCATCTTCTACTCTTTCATCCACACTTGAACCGTCAAAATCTATTTTCCACAATCAAAATTTGTTAAAAGTTGCAACTTTTCACCATCTTACTAGCATAATCATGTTACTATACCCTTCCTAGTTTTATCATAAATAGCTTAGGCCTCACTTGGTATCAGTTCTATTTTTTTCTTAAAATAAATTTTAAAATGACAATATTTCGATGTTTTATTTTAAATACAAGTAATTTGTTTTGAAAAATCAAAACTAAAAAACAACATTTATGCATTTTAATATTAAAAATCAAAATTTTTTTACTCTCAACCCCATCCAGGTCCCATCAATTTCACATTTTATTTCGTTTCCAAGAAAACTTTACAATGAAAGCGGCAATCTTCAACAATATGACAATAGCAAAGGGGGCGCGGCGCGTACCCAGATCTTGTGGGTGAGATTGGAGTTGATCTTGTAGGCAAAGGTGGCAAAGTAATGATACGAGGCCATCAGATGTTGGGGAGAAAATTGAGAGAACAAAGCTAGAAGATGATGAAGTGGCAATATTTCCAAATTGAAGATCCAAGGAAGGGAGAGCCTCGCCACATGGGTGAAGTTGCCACCCAACTTAAAAGACGATGAGAGATTATGTTGGATGTTTACATTTGACTAGGGGTGTCAATTTCGGGTCACGGGTCGGGTTCGGGTCGAACCCGAAACTGACCCGGCACTATTCGGGTCAACCCGAACCCGACCCGTTTTTAAAAACGGGTCAGTTTTCCTGACCCGAACCCGACCCGCTTCGGGTCCGGGTCAACCCGACCCGACCCGAATGACCCGTTTCCAACAAGAAAATGGCTAATTTTCGGGTCAAAAACGGGTCAAACTCCTCTTTTCGGGTAAAAAAGGGGTCAATCTCGGGTTGCCGGGTCAAAATCGGGTCACTTTCGGGTCAATTTCGGGTCAAAGGGTTAACCCGAACCCGACCCGATTTTTGAAACGGGTCGAAATGTTGAACCCGAACCCGACCCGTTTTGGGTTCGGGTTGACCCTAACCCGAAATTTTCGGGTCGGGTTCGGGTCGGATTTTCGTGTCGTGTCAAATATTGACACCCCTACATTTGACCCTGGCCCTATTTGCCAGGGTTGCCTTGTTGAAGTTGGACAAAAGTTTGTATTTTGTTAAGCCTAGAGGCTATTAAACATAGAAATGCACATTTGGCACATGATACAATATGACGATAGGATATCTATCAAAAGATAAGACATGCTATGAATAAAATGCTATATTTTATAAATTACTAACACAAAATAATTAATTTTTTATATTTTCTATTAAAGTCATTATAGGATTCATGTCATAATTATTCAACAAGTTTTACGTCAGCTATCAACTAGATAACAAAACTCTCAACTTTTTCAATCTAAGGGTTGAGACTTGGCAATGACAATGCTGCTAAAGGCATTATAGAGCTAAGTATAAAAACATATGCATATACTTTATGAAAAAGAGAATTATTGGCATAGCTAGCCATAAAAAAGGAATGACAAATTCAAAACTATTAATAATGCATAAAAATCATATTAAGCTTCATGATAATAGATTATTTTGTTGTAATCCATTTAGTAATAATGAAAGTCTTCTTATTCTAATCAATGTCAATTAAATGAAAGTCTTGACTACAGATTCAGAATTACAATCTATTATATTGATTAATAATGTACCATAATACTAAACAAAATAAATAAAAATATATAGGACTTTTCATCCACATATTGCCTTATTTGAGAAAGAAGATAGAACCAATCAACCATTTAAAATAATAACTACCATCTATCTAACTCAAAAGTCCTAATTCCCATTATTTTGTGTAAAAAAAATAGATGGCCCAATTTCCTATGTTTAATTTGCGCAGTATGCAAGATGATTTTTCTAATTTTGCAAGTAAATATTTCTTATCTTATGAAAAAATAGTTATATCTAGATTGTTTCTGTAAAATTAGGCGGCTGTCTTACAACTTGATAATAAAAAAATATATAAAATCCAATTTAAGAATTAAAAAAGTAACTTCAAATCATAAAATAAATTTAGCTCACCATATGCTCATTTAAATATTTTCAATGTAAAGAAATAAAAAATTTTATAAGAGCACATAAAATGCTTCAAAAAAAAAAGAAGCGTGGAAATGTTCTTGAACCTAATCATATTTCAATAGAGGTGTGGAAATGCTTAAGAGAAGCAATTTTTGGCTTACAAAACTTTTAAATATTATTTTGAAAACTAAAAAAAGCTAGACGAGTGGAGAATGAGTGTTGATTCTTATTTTTAAGAATAAAGGTGATGTATAAGATTGTGTAAATTTTAGAGGAATTAAGCTAATGTGTCATACTTTAATACTATGGGAGAGAGTTATAGAGCATATGTTACAACATGATACTAATGTTTCTCAAAATCAAATTGGATTCATGCTGGGTAGGTCCACTATGGAAGCTGCATATTAATTGATAGAGTTTGATGGATAAGTATAGAGAGAGTTAGGAGGATCTACATATGATATTTATTGATTTAGAGAAAGAATATGATAAAGTTCCAAGATAACTACTATGGAGAGTTCTAGAAAAGAAAAGGGTTAATAATGTTTATATTCAAGTCATTAATGATATGTATGCAGGAGCTATTACTTGTGTTCAAACACAAAGTAGTTTGACAAAGTATTTTCCTATTTCAATTAGATTAAATCAAAGATCAGCCTTAAGCTCATATTTTTTTTCTTTATTCATGGATGTTCTTACTAGACATCAGGTGCACCCTAGTGTATGCTTTTTGATGATGATATTATTCTTATTGATAAGACTAGAGAAGGAGCTGATGATAAACTTGAATTATGAAGGTCAACATCGAGGTTTTTGCTTGAGTAGATCTAAAATTAATTATATGAAGTGTAATTTTAGTAATAATAGATATATTGGGGATTGTGATTTTGGGCAATCAAGTCATTAATAAGAGCACACGTTTCAAAAAACTTGGGCCTATTGTTCAGAGATTTGGTAAAAATTGATGGGGATATTATTAGTAGAATTCAAGTTGGATGGTTGAAGGGGAAGAATGCATCGGGCTTTTTTTTGATAGAAAAGTCCCCCTCAAACTTGAGGAGGGAAAATCTATAAGATGGTGGTGAGACTTGCAATATTTTATGGTGCAGAATATTAGCTACTAAAAGAGAAGTACAATTTTAAGCTAAATATTGCAAAGATGAGGATGCTCGATGGATGAGTGACTTTACTCTTAGAAACATATACGAAATGATCTAGTGGAAGATAAGATTAGAAAGAGTCACCTTAGATGGTTTGGTTAGACAAAACATCGGCCTTCTGATGACCCGATTAAGACATTATAGATGCATAAGATTTTGCTTATGTTAAAAAAGGTGGAGGTAGACCTAAAAAGTCTTGGTTAAAAAATATTAGAAATGTCCATTCTATATTAGATTTAAATGAAAATTTGACTCTTAATAGGATATAATGGAGAAAAAAGATCTATATAGACCTCAAGTAGGAAGACAAAGGCTTGATGTTATTTTTGTTGTTATTGGTAACTAAAAATCATAATATGAATTTGATTTAAGTTAGAAATTCACTTCTTTAAATCTTCTATAAATATGGAAGAAAATAAATATCCAATAGTAGAATTCCAAGTGCATTAGAAGCTATATGATGCACCAATACTTCTCAATGTGGTTTGCTGTGCCCAATAAGTATCGAACACGTCACACCTCCAAAACATATTGGACACGTCAAAGACGTGTCTCATTAAAAAAATAAAGAATAAATTAAACATGCTTGTCTGAAACGCATCTTAAATATTTAATGAAATTTTTTAATATAATTTCTTATATTTCAATTTTTTTATTAAAAAAATAAAAACTAAATTTGTATTTCCTCTCAATAGTCCCGAATCAATTACCCATACTCAATACCTCATTTTTAGAACACACCATTTTCATTTATATCTGCAAATCATATCTAGGGTTACACAATAACATCTGATGTCATCGCAACATCGACATCCGACACCGTAACAATATCAATGTTTCAAAACCATCTGAAAAATTAAAGCTTGATGCTAGCAATTTCTACCCCACAATTACACCACCTTGTTATCTCGACATCTCATTTTTTACCAACATCATCTCAATATATACGAGGACATTGTCTCGACATTAATGTTCAATGCCCGACTCTTGACAGTATTGTTGTCGTCTCCCATCCCGATGCTTGAAATACGACATCGACGCTCAACTCTTGACATTCTAATATCAATCATTTTAAGCACAAATCATAAGTAAAGGATTTATTATTTTTCAATTGTTCTTAATACTCTGTTTACTCATTTTCTATAAATCATTTTTAAAATATAAAAATTATAATATTGTGTCCAACCCGTGCCTAATTCTTATATTTTTAATAATTGACATGTCTTGTGCTGTGTCGTATCTGTGTCATCGTGTTGATGCTCAGTGCATCATAGATTAGAAGACATTGTGTGAGCAAATGGGATGCTTCTTTCAGGTAAAACAAAAGAAATTTCATTGGCTTTTTGCAGGGAGAATATCTGTTAAAGAAAATTATCTAAATGTTTTTCCATAGCAGTGACATAAGAGAGCTGAAAACGGAAGAAAATTTATCTAAATTCGCACAGTGAAAGAATTGTGATTCCAAAAATAGTATGATCATTCCATAGACATATAGAAAGGTAGGCATTTGACGAGCATTGAGTGGAGAATTTTTTATATTAATTAAATTTTGTTTTATCATTATCCTCTCATTTGTGATTCTCTTTTTTGCTTGACTAGAGAGATTTGAATCTTAAATTTTCTGAAGTGATTGAATGTATGTGATTTATTTGGATTTGAATGTATATTTTTCTGTGCCTCATTTTGTTTGTGCATCTCAGTGGTTTCTTCAATATATAATATCCTCTCTCCTCTTAGGTGTAGATAAGTTATTATTATGATAGAACCATGTAAAACTTACTGCTTTCTTGGTCCATTTGGCCTTTTCTTGTTATTACATTATGTATTCATCATATTCCCTCCTGCTGGGTGCTTCGACATAAAAGCATGTGTTTTACTTAAATGACAGCAAATGGCAGGTATCACAACTCCGAGCAAATTGAAACCAAAGGCACTCATATGACATGTATGCAATGGTGAGCTCATCAACTAAAATACACCACACTAACACCAAATGGTCAAAACTCATTGCAACAAAATCTTGTGTAATGAACAAGAACAGAGTTAACCAAAAATTCAAAAAAAAAAAAGCCAGATAATAAGCAAGGTTGGCTTGACAAGATTCAAAGCAAATCAGCAGGGAGAGAGAAACTACGAATAAACCTGGAGATCCTGTTCAGATGTTTTGAGCTTTTCAGTATAGTCCTGTACTTGTAGGAAGCTCTTGTGCAGCTTTAAGGCAAAAAAGTAATGCAGGCATTAACTACATGGACGATGTTTATTTATTAAGCAATCAACATATAAAACAGCTAAGGTGGGATGAATTACTTTAGCTAGTAATAATTGACGTTGAGAAGAGAGTTTCTTTGTAGCAGCCACTGCTTCCTCATATTTCTGTACCAATAAAGCCGAATAAGAAAAACAAGAAATTCTTATAGCAGAAAGACAAAAACCTAAAGGCTTTGATTATGAGCATTCAACTTCTCAATTATTTCAAAGAAACCAAGAAAATAAAGCAAGTTCAATAGCAGTGCTTAGGAATGAAATCACCTGAAATTTCTTCTGCAAATCTGAAACAAGTTGCTCCTTCGCTTCAATCTTGTCTTCAAGATGATCAAGCTGCATGGAAAAATATATTCAATCTAAATAGCAAGCGCCTGATTAACATTTACTTCAAAAATTTCTCTACGAATTGGGAGAAAAAACACTGATTACATGAAATACAGCAATTCAGGAAAATTAAAATTACAGAAGCAGAAGTAATTAAGTGCGCCATATATGATATAGAAGTTTGAATGCTCAAATGAATTCAAGGAAAATATTTGGCTTGGTAGCTTAATTGATTAACAGATATTATTAACAATACAAAAGTACTTTATGTTGGGAAATGGAAACATATACAAGCATAGAGAACAAAAAAAATCAGAATATCAAATAGCAGATCAGAGCAAAATTTATGTAAAAAAAAGAGCAAAATTTATGCAGGTTCAACAATTGATGGCTAAATTCTATCACCTCGCTACAAATTTCACTATTGATTGTAGATAATACAACCCTAATTTTTAAGATACAAACATAAGATGGTACAATCATTATAAAAGAAAGCTTAGGATAATCAAAATATAATATAACTCCCAAAATGTCCTGCAAACAAGCTTGTGTAATTCATTACCTTTGTATGGCCAATATTAGGCGACACATCTTACACTTTATCCATGACTAAACATGCTAAGGTATATTTTTGAAGTTAATTTTTTTCCAAAGAAAACATAAAACTAAAAAAGAACAAGAATGAATGAGATTTCCAAATTTACTCTAAAATCACCTTCATGTTCATTTAAACTAAGTAGCATTATGCTCTATGAATCATTGTTCACCGTTCAAAGTATAGCATGTAAAGTATAATGCATGTGAATCCTTTTACGCAACTTTTAACCATGTTATCTTTATTCTAAAAAAAAATTTTTTCTTTCATCTCTGTCCATTTGCTTCCTTTTTCTTTAACATCATACACATATTGGAAATGCTTACATGCCTGCAACACTATCCATTCTCCATGACGATTAAATGTTAATTCCATAATCTCCATTATAAAAACTACCCATCTTAACATTATAATTTGTACTAGTCAACAAGATTGTTAATGACTAGTATGTTAGATAACAACCATATCCATACTCAAAAACATGCCTTACTGACATGATTTATTTATGCTTGTACTTTTGGATCAGATTTCGTCCAAATGTTTTAGTTTTCGACATTTTAGGAAGTTCAGCTGTCAATCAATGTAGAAAACTTTTATAGTTTTTTTTTTTATCTTAGCAAATCCTCTATAGATAAATCACACTGATAAGAATTATAATACTAGTTAACTATTTATTTTTATATTGAAGAAAAAAAGATAAGAAAGGCAGAGTTAGACCTAGAGAAACTTGGTCATAAAATATTAAAAATGATATTTCTTTATTAGATTTAAATGAGAATTTAACTCTTAAAAGGACACAATGGAGAAAAAGGATTCGTGTAACCGACCCCACTATTGGCTAAAGAAAAATGACATGAATGCATGAATCTCGCTTTACAGCTGTAGGATTCCACTTCCCTTAAGTCAGATTGAAATTAACAAGATTTCCGCTGAGGGTCGTGTCAGGGTTTAATTAGATCTAGGGTCTTTACTCCCTATGAGCGCAAGCACTCATAGTTAATTACCCCTCTTACTGCGTAAAAGAGAACTCTCGATTAAGGATGAATAAATTTTAGATATTTTTAGTCTCGATTGTGGGAAAATTGAGATAAACATGGTCAAGATTCCATAGTTCCGTCGTCCCGGGTATACCGTAGTTCCAATCTACCAACACTAACAATCATTGATCATAGTGTCCAGAGAATCTGATTAGCAACCACGGGTTGTCTCCTCTCAGGCATCCCGAGTAGACTGAAGTTGTGAGATTTGATTTTTAATTTTATTGGGTGTTTTGGGGTTTACAACTATTAGAATACCCGTAAATTAATTTAGTTTGGGATTTATGACTTCATTTAGAACTTCGGAATTTGGATTAGAGCGGGTCTTATGGCTTCTTTAGGAAGTAGCCCAGATATTTAAATTTAGGTTGGGACTTATGGCTTTCATAGAAAGTAGACCGGAGATTTGATTTGGAATGGGGTTACTGCTCTATTCGTGAGTTGCCAAAGAATTTGATTTGGAATGGGGCTCACTGCTCTATTTATGAGTTGCCCAAGAATGAGTCTTACAACCTAACTCTACAATGAGGCTGTCCGAGAATTTTAATTATTTGGGTAGGTCTTATGATTTTTCTTAGAAAGTTGCCTAAAAAAGCGGGTCTTACAGCTTAATCGCTTATACTAAGATGCCCATGAAATTTGTGTGTTTTGTAGAAGATCTTATGATAGAAATTCTACATGCTTTCGACATGGAATTAGTATCATAAATGAATGTAATTCAAAGCATGTTTAAATATGAAATTCTCTCTTGAGGCTTTTGCCTTGATTTTTGAGCAATAGATGTTCATGTGATTAAATTTGGGTCAGGAGTCACGATTTTTACTAAAGATAGCCCGAAGATTTTTAATTGGATAGGTCTTAGTGCTTCCTTAGAAGTTTTCTAATGATGGGTCTTATGACCTAGCCCGGGAAGCTAAGTGGCCCGAGTAATGGGTCTTACAACCAAGCTCTATAGACTAGGATACCCAAATGAGAGATTTAGGGTTGTATTATCACCTAAACATTTCCCGCATAGGTCGAACTTACGGCTTCTATTAAAAGTTTCCAGGGGATGGGTCTTACAACCTAGTTTTTATAAACAAGGCTGCCCGTATGAGGGGTCTAGATTTGTGTTATCACCTAATCATTTCCCTTAGAGGTCAAACTTACGACTTCTATTAGAAGTGGCCGGTATTTTAATTGGGGGTTAGGGGTTATGTCAATTTTACCTAAAACTCTCCACTAAGGTCGGGCTTACTTCTTTCATTTGAAAGTTGTCGTGTAGTGGGTCTTACAACCAAGTTCTTATAAATAAGGATGCCAATGAATTTAAATTTCATTGTTTGAGTGCATAGTAGTTATTTGACACTAGACCACCGTGGTTTTGACACTTACTTGCAAGCAGTTTATTTAACTTTTAGTTGTGTGCTTGCTTTTTTTATTTTTTTTTCTCGTAGATTTTTTCTACCAGAATAGTCTGTTACTCTACTTTAGCACTGTTATTTGTTTGTTTGTTTTTACATGCTTTCAGCACTGCTGCTTTACTAGCTCTTCTAATACTCTGTTTTATTAATAGTAGCTAGATTTATTTTTCCTAGCATTTAACTCCATTTATATTTGTGATAACTTTTAGACACTTGTTTGCAGGTACATGGTGCCTACAATAGTTCAGGGAGAACGAAGATAGTTGGAAGAGTCACTATAAAGTGTCGATAGTTTCAGTGTTGTTTGTTGTTCGAGTTGAGTTATTAGTGTTGTGGAGGATCTTGAGAGTTGTTTTATGTTTAGTTATTATTGGAGAGTTTGTTGTTTAGAGAGTTTGCTTGATTTCGTTATTTGGAGAACTTGTCTATACATTGGATTAGTGAAAATATTGATTTCTTACAACATATTTATAAAGATTAAATTACAACGAAATTTTATCATAAAATATTGGTTTGTGTTTCCAATAATTTTGTATAAAGAAAAAAATCATTGCAGATAACTTTTAAGTTCTTTAGCTTAAAAGGCAAAGAGAGCCACTCTTTCAACTTCAAGCAGTAATTTAGCTCTTACTAAATTAAGCAAGTAGTTATCATTCTCAGGAAATCAATTTTCAAGTCATTTTACTTTCGACATGCAAGAAAGTTTTCAGAGACTTGAGGAAAGACTTGAGGAAAGGAAGTTGTTCTAAATGTGGAAGAGTTGTCCCCTTAATGCAATATTTCAATTCACTTTTTTTCTTTTTTTTTGTAGATTAGAGATTAGATTGACACAGCTCATCCATATTAAAAAAAAAAATTGATTAGATTAGAGTTTTCCCCTTCGTGCAATAGATTGGAGATCAGATTGACATTACTCATCCATATTATAAAAATATGATTTAGAAATATAATTTATAAAAATCTTATTGATATAAAACAAGATCTAATTTGAGAAGAAAAAATCTAATTTAATTTATAAAATCTTATTTGAAATTAGATTTTTTTAAAGAACTGTGTTTTCCAAAATCCGCTTAAATACAGTTTTTTTTTTTTTTTGAGAAAATTTCAACCTTTCTGCGTCCCCTCCCCTCGCGGAAAGGTCGAGACGGCACTTACCGATATTTTCTTTCCAGCCGACCGGACTTCAAATCGACGGTGCGAGGTCTTTGCTTTAAAACCATCTAGACCGGACTTAAAGTCGTTGATGCGAGGTCTTGTATTTTAAAACCATCTCCACCAAACTTAAAGTCAACGGTGCAAGGTCTTGAATTTGTAACCATCTCAACCGGACTCAAAGTCGACGGTGTGAGGTCTTGAATTTGTAGCCATCTCGACCGGACTCAAAGTCGACGGTGTAAGGTTTTCTTTTAATTCTTATTTGTTTAATACTTAAAATAAAGATTTCATTTAAAATTAAAATTAATGCAATAGCATATACTTTTGATTCATAATAATCTGATTTGAAATCTACATTTTAAAAAAATATATATGCATTTTAAAAATCTGAATTTAAAAATCCTTATTTTTAAAATCTGTATTTTAATTTAAGAAAAATCTGCAATTTAAAATCTGCCTTTAAGAAAAATCTGCATTAAAAAAAATCTGATTTTTGAACAGAATACTTTGATATTAGAAAATCTGATTTTTAAGTAAAGAGGAATACTTTGTTGTTGAAAAAGAACATAATTTTTATATTCAAGTTTGACAAATTGCCAGTTGTAGACAGTTAAATAAGGCTTACTGTCACAGTTTATATGAGAGGGTAGAATTGGTCAAAAGTAATCATTACAGGTCTCTAAAAAAAGTCATTCACTAGGAGGTAATTATTTCATGTCAGTTGGGGCAAGACAAGCAATTTAAGTAGACAATAGGCTTGGAGTGGTCTATGATCACGGGCATATTCACATAAATAAAAGAGTTGGCAATATTGTCTATTTTTAAGACAGAGATACAGGCGTGGTTGGACTTTGTGACATAATTCGCGAACATTAGGGGCTAAGGGTGTTATGCGACGAGATTTTTGTTTGCCGGCAAGAGGAGAAGGGAGTTTCGATAAGGGGCGTCAGAGTCGCAAAACATAGCAACGGGATTTACCTATGAAGGGTACATTGATTTTGCGATTGGAGGGGTCTCGTGCTCGACGGCAAGACAGATCAGGCTGGTTCAGCCAGCGTGCTCCACGCGAAAGACGAAGCAGAGGCAGGCTTGTTGGGGTGGAGAGAGGCATGGACAGTAAGTCGGATACGAAACCGACTTTGGATGCGAGGCACGATTGCAAGAGGAAGAAATCAGTAGAATTTTCAGAGAAATTCAAAGTGTTCGTTCATCTCTTTCTCCTCTTCACCTTTTTATTGAGTAGATTGCTAAATAACAGTTAGCAAATCGAAAAACGACGTCGTTTGGCGAAGTGGGGCCGGCTCGAGAGCTTAAAGAGATGCGACTCTTCATTTAGCTTTATTTTTCTTTATGTTTTCGATATATTATTCTTTTTATTTTTTTCTTTTTATTTAGTTAACAAATTTTTTCTCAAAAGCATTTAGATCCATATAAGGATCAAGATAAGCCACCATAACTACTTTACCACTCTTCTTTCTTAAACAACATCTCTAAATAGCATTCATCCTGAGATATCATTGCATTCATTGCCAACCTTAATTGAATCAAGCTCTTAGAAACTTTCAACTTTACAGCTTATTTTTTTTTTTTTTAATTTGTCTGATTTTATGTTCCTATATATGTGTCTCTTCTATTGCTCTATAAATTATAAATTTAGCTATGCAAAAATCCAAATTCCACTTGACTTATTTTAACAAAATATGATGTTATAGACAGATTTAATATTTCATTCTATTTTCCATCTCTATATGTATGGGCTGGTTGTCGTATACATATCTCCACTCCAACTCTGTTTGAACAGAAAGATTGATGTTATTATTGTATCCAAACATTCTTCTAGTATGTTGTGGTTGTAGGTAGTAGCAAATTCAGGGACATGTAGACCTAGCCAATGATATAAATTAATCTTGTCAGAGTGAAATTAATTAATTTGTGGATGCAACAATGCAGGACACATCTTTTCCATCTTTATTTTTATTAGTCAACACCCACATAGTTGGAAAAATGCTTGATATTATTGTTGTTGTTGTATTGAAGCAAAAAAGATAAATGGCGAAAAATTCTCATATTCAATTTTAAATCAAATTGTAAAAATATAGATTGAAAAATTCATTCAAAAGAAGCTACAAATATTATAAAAACTATTTTCATTCAGAAGAGAAGTAAAATTATAACACAAGAGTTGGAGGCGGAATTAAAAACTGCCTTGGTCTAACCAGTCACAAACACATTATTCACAGGGCTCCATCACTTTCCCATTCTCTTCCAACTCCTTATACTAAGAAAATTGGCCATATACTCACTAGTTTGCTAGGAATTTGTTTCCTATATGCAAGCAAAATGTCTTATAAATATCAAAGATTTAGGAGTTTGTTTATCGTTTATTTTTTTTTTTCAAGTTATTCCTGAACATAGTACATTTATTAGAGATTTGACTTGATGACAAATTTAATTCATTTAGCCTCAAAACATTCATTTGAGAAGTGGAGGAAGGGAGATTAATTCCTAATAGTTGAAGCAAGGGGAATTAAAAAAAAAAAAAAAGATTACAAAACAAGAAGAGAAGAAGATGAGAAGAACAGATCCAAGGAAACAAAAAGAAAAAGGAAAGAAGAAGACTAAGGATTCATCAAGGAGAAGAGGTAAAAATTGGTAAGAATATGGCATAATTTAATTTGTAGGTTGCTACTTTCAATTTCTATTATCTCCTAAGCACTACACTCTCTCTTAACACTACTTGAATTCCTCAAAAACATATTAATCCTGAACCCTTTGGACGACCCCATAAAAACATATCAATCCTGAACAGTTCGGACAACCCCATCGCAAGAAGTTAAAGTTTTGATTCTCTTGCAAGCTTGGTCATTTCCTACCAACTTACATGCCTAGAGGTCTACCTTAGCACTAATATAACACATCAGACATTTTAAGAATAGAGGCCATCAAAATAGCCTTCATATAGAGTAGCCAAGTCACCTTCCATTCAAGAATGAGAGGATGTGTGGCGAGAATCATCCCCTTAGCTTGGGATCATTTCTCTGTCTTGGTTCCAAGTCCAAGTCATGCAAGACTCCTCTTCCTATCACGATACCATATTGCTTATGTGAAACCCTCAAGTAAAAGAAGCTAAACTCTTAAGCATCGATGCGCCTTTTTGTATAATGGTTGGAATTTCATTTAGAAACTCCGTGGTTAAGTGTGCTCATCCCGAAGAAATCTTGGGATGGGTGACCTCCTGGAAGTAACGCCAATAGGACAAAACCAAAGCGGACAATATCTCGATAGTTAAGAGTTTGAGCTATTATAAATAATATCAAAGCAATATACCAGCCGAAAGATGAAAACTAGGTGTCATACAAGACAGTGCTACACAAGAGAGTCACATCTTGAATCATGTATGGGATAAAGTGCTATGTGACGGGAGTCACCACTTGAATTTGTAGGAGCGAGCTCTAGAATCCTATCTACCTAGTGGATGATTCTGAAATAAGAATACTGATGAGGACGTCAGTTACTAATGTGAGGGAGATTATGAAACACTTAAATAAAAGAAGTTAAACTCTTAAACATCAAGACACCTTTTGATGTAATGGTTGTAATTCAATTAAGATACTCTGAAGTTAAGCAAGCTCATCGCAGAGAATTCATGGGATGGGTGACCTCCTAAGATTTTACACCAATATGACAAAACCATGAGACCGTTAGGTCAAAATGGACAATATCTCAATAGTGATATCTACCCATGTTTTTTTCTTTTTATTTTTTCACTTTCAGAATGGCCCTTAAGGTATACTCACCCCTCTCATTTGAGGGGATGCTTACAGGTTTTGCTAGGAACCCAGATATTTTTTAGCAACCGGCAAAACTGTACTGTTGAACCTAGACTAAAAAGTGATTTAATTCTCCTTCAGTTGAGGCCAATATGAAACTATAAAAATAGATGGGTTTTAACGAAGCTTTAAAAGCTTGCTTATTTCCATGTTTTATCCCGTATACCCCATATGATATCTTAAAATATCCAATCTTTAACACCCATTATCAGTTGATCATATTATCAGTATGAATTAATCACCATGCATTAAATCAAACATTTTAGTTAAAATTAGTTCTGCTAACAGTAAGCCCCACATCTTCAAAGCTCCTCTGCCAGCATCCTAACAATAAAAAAAAAATTGTATAACAAGCATAAATTATACATGCAAGTCCACAAACTGACACAGTGCATGCCTTTTAAATTTTATGGCAAAAACAATGCTTGCATGACATATAATGCATCGAAATCATTTCAGAATCTTATGGCATTGTACTTGCTGGAATTTGAAGACGGCAGTCAGAAGAAAGGCAGATGCCATAACAAAAGAGTGTATGAACAAAATGGCAGGCTACTTCATTAGCCAAGCACTGGTAGCTAAATTATGCATCCATTTCTTTGTCCTCTGACCGAGTTATCTTTCATCACTTAAGCAGGTTGCATTAGCCGTGGATTTCAAAAAAGACTAGTAAAAATTTCATGAGGCTTAAGAAAGAGAAAGGATCTGTTAATTTAAAAACTAGGCAGTTGAAACCAAGACCAAAAACCAGATACTTCAAAAAGGGCTTTTGTGTGATTTGAGAAGTAGAAGAGAACAAATATAAATATTGCTTACAGTCAATAGCATTCAATTTTTATTCATAAATATAAAAAGTGATTAAAATAAATTTAGTTGATACATAAGTGATAGTAAAGCAAGCAGGAAAAATGTATTATTCTTAGCTAAACTTGAAAACATTTAACTGCATAAAAAGCACTTACGTACCTCTCTCTGAAGCTCATCGCGCCTATGAATGGATATCTCCAATTGCTCTTTGACCTAACAACGATATGATGCATGAAATTGAATAGCAATTAGCTATGTCAGAAAAAAGGCAATAGTTGATGCTCCATGGTTCTGGAAAAGGCTATGAATTTCATTCAAAGTAAAAAATAACTAGAAAAAAGAATTTCTCTTTGACTTGGATAGAAATGAACAAGAAGATTAAGTATGATCTACTTCCTATTGACCTCGGATAACTCAAGGCCTAGATTCGACAACGCTAAGTTAAAACCAAATAAATAAATTGATTATGCATGTAGAAAACATTGATGTGTGGATGACAAATTTTAACGTTAATTTTGGGGCAGAGATTGTAACATATACCAAATAATGACTGAAAAATGGGTCATTTTTTGGTCCTGTATCAAAATTAAAGAGGTAGGTTTGGCTTGGATGGAGGTTTGCTCAATTCAGGTTGATTAGTGCTTTAGATGGATTTGGATCAGATTGTTACCAGCCCTAATCCTAAAAATTAAACTGTAGCTTACCTGGTCATTGTGCTTTTCACTGAATTCTGATGACAGCTCTCTACTATGGCGGTCATCAGAGTGAGAACTGTAAATCCAGAAAAAGTTAATCATTAGAACTTTTTGATATAATAAGAAAATTACAGGCAGAGTTGATTCAAATGTTGATCTTTGTTTAACGAGTTACAAAATTTACCACACATTGGGAATGCTGATTTCTCAAAAACATGTCTTATTTCTAAAAATAGTCATAAGCACATAAGAAGATTGTATAATTGACAAAAGCAAAGCAATACAAAAAGCTTCAAATTTAAATTGTGACAATTAGACAATGTTGAGTGCATTGTTATTAACTTAAATACATTTATAAGAACTGAAAATGATAAGTGCCACTTAAAAGTAAATCTACCTTTGAATTTTATATGCATTAGACCGTTAAAAAGTTCAAGCTTAGAATACAGTTGCTCAAACCATTCAGGCTTCATTTGGGACGGCTTTCTTACTGCTTTCTAAAACAATTTTTTAATACAAAAATTTTATGAACTACAAATTTTTATACTAAAAAGCTGCTTTTAAAAACATTAAAAAAATTGTTCCAAATGAAGCCTCAATTTGAATTTTCTCCTGACTCCATAACTCAGGGAAAACAAAGCAGAAGCCGAGTTTGACGGTTGCAAACTCAACAGTAATAAGACTGGAGAGCATCTAGGCAGTCTACCAGGCTAGAGAAGGATATTGATCTATAACAACATGACTACATGAGCATGCGCCGGATATGGATTATTTGAAAACAGTAAAGTATGCATGAAAAAATTGACGTAATAAAAGTTCAGCTATCAAAAAAAAAAACAAAATTTTGTTACTTGATATGGATTATTTGAAAATGTCTCAAAACTTAAATTTTCTCCTGACTCAGTAATTCAGGTAGAACAAACCCAAGCCAAGTTTGACATTGAAAAGTACTTTGGGATATAGAAAAATCTGTCTATAACCACATGGGAATTAGTCATTGGAAACTACGCGAGAAAAAAAAATGCAATAAACGTTCAGCTTCCAAAAAAAAGCAACTTTTATTACTTGATAAGGATTATTTCAAAATGTCTTCAAACTTGATTTAAAATTAAAAACATATATATGATATATACCTAATTTGAAGACATTCTTCAAAGGTGAACTTGCAAATTAAAGTTTCTAACAATTTCTACATAGGATTTAACAAAAGATTAGAAAATGCAAGGACTTCAAGATTGCATGAAAAAATTAAAACTAAAATTTTAAACTTTAAAAAATATATATTTATTTCATCATAAAACCTATTTTAAGTATATAATCTCAAGTCTCACAAAGCAAGCTAAAAAAATCATTAATAATCATCCTTTCTTCCATTTGCATAATCACTTTCTCCTTAAAGTAGAATTTCATCTTTCAAACCTTCTTCTTCTTTATAAGAAGATGTGGGCTGCGATGAACTACCCATCAATGTGGATACAGGTCAAGAACAACAACAATATGCAAATTGAAATTTCTGTTGTTGTTCTAGACGGATAAGAAGAAAGGATTTTGATAGGAAATACTCGTTTGCACAAGTAAACCTAACCCAAATCAAGTACCTAAGCAAAGAAACTGCTGTCCGCAGCAAGAACATAGCCCAAACAGTGAAAAACGGAGAGAAAACTCAATGGAAATTCGTAGGAAAACAAAGCAAACACTTTTATTTCAATAGTAGATAAAAGCACTTGCAAGATACAATCTTCCTTCAATTTGAGAGGAAGGAAGCACTCTCCACGATCTCCGGCAAAGCCAAGAGCCCAAGAACAAACCTAGATCTCCCAAGAAATTCAAAATCAAGATAAGCCCTAAGACTCACCAAAACTCCTAATTAAAAACAAAGGACAATTACAAACTTCCTAAAACAGCCCCCAACATTCAAAATTTCCCTCCAAACGCACCCAAAACCACGCGGCTCTCCTCTGGTTTCCACTCAGAACCGCGCTCCCACTCTGTTTTTCCGCCTGTAGTAATAGTGGACCGGTCCGGGCTGGACCGGTCCAGCCGGCCCCTCCTGGGCCGGCATAACATTACCGCCCTCCCAAAGAATCACCTTGTCCTCAAGGTGGAAAGCAGGAAACTGCTCGGCAATCCTCTCCTGTGGCTCCCAAGTGGCCTCATAGTCTGGAAGGCCGCTCCACCTAATCTTCACCTCCTTTTCCTCCTCCTCGTTGATGTGCACTCCTACCGCTAGAGGCTCCAATGTCACTTCCATGTCCTCCCACAATGTGCTGGGCAGCTCCGGGCTCACTGCATGCTCCCCCACCACTCTCCTCAACTGTGAGACATGAAAAACGGGGTGTATTCTGGCTGTTGAAGGAAGCCTTAATCTATAGGCCACCTCTCCAATTCTCTCCTCCACTTCAAAAGGGCCAAAATACCTTGTTGCAAGCTTCTCATTTCTCCTTTAGGACACTGTCCTCTGTCAGTATGGTCGGAGCTTCAAGTAGACCTTGTCCCCAACTGCAAACTGTATATCTCTCCTTTTGTCGTCCGCCTGCTTCTTCATAAGTTGTTGGGCTCTAAGTAAATGCCTCTTGAGCTCTTCTAACACCTGATCTTCTTCCTTCAAATGTTGATCCACTGCAGATACTGGGGTACTACTATGGTTGTAGTGTACCAATTGTGGGGGGTCCCTCCCATATAACACCTTAAACGGTGTCATCTTGGTAGCCGAGTGAGAGGTATTATACTAGTATTCTGCCCAAGCTAGCCATTTGGCCCACTGCTTTGGTGTTTCAGACACAAAACACCTCAAGTATGTCTCCAAACTCCTATTCACCACCTCCGTCTATCCGAAAGTCTGTAGATGGTAGGCTGTGCTCCTCTTCAATATTGTTCCCTGCATCCTAAATAGTTCCCTCCAGAAATGGCTCAGGAACACCTTGTCCTTATCAGAAACAATGGACTCTGGTACCCCATGTAGGCGGACTATCTCCCTCACAAATGCTGCTGCTACAGACACCGCTGTGTACGGGTGTCTCAAGGGAATGAAATGAGCATATTTGCTCAGCCTGTCGACCACTACAAGTATAACCGTGTAGCCTTCTGATTTTGGGAGCCCATCAATGAAATCCATAGTAATCTCCTCCCAAACCTTCTCTGGTAGGGCCAAAGGCTGTAGTAATCCCCCTGGTGCCATCGTCAGGTACTTGCTCCGCTGGCAGATATCACACTTCGCCACCATCTCCTCTACATCTTTCCTCATCCCCTTCCAGTACAATTCAGCAGCTAACCGGCTATAAGTTTTTTGCACTCCTGAATGCCCTCCTATGGCACTCCCATGAAACTCCTGTAGCAGCTGGGGAATGTGGATGGAAGACCTTGGAATCACACTCCTTCCCTGCATAAATCTCCCTCCAAACAGTCAAAATCTGCTGTTTTACTCAACTGTTGCTCTCAAAAACCCTAAAAACTGCGGTTTTCAGGGGAAAACAGCCTCTGACAACCCAAATTCTGCGAAAATCTGCAGCGAAACAGTGGAAAAACACAGCCCTCCACCGTCCGGATCTCGCTCTGATACTAATTTGATAGGAAATACTTGTTTGCACAAGTAAACCTAACCCATCAAGTACCTAAGCAAAGAAACTGCTGTCTACAGCAAGAACACAGCCCAAACAGTGGAAAACGGAGAGAAAACTCAATGGAAATTCGTAGGAAAGCAAAGCAAACACTTTTATTTCAATAGTAGATAAAAGCACTTGCAAGATACAATCTTCCTTCAATTCGAGAGGAAGGAAGCACTCTCCACGATCTCCGGCAAAGCCAAGAGCCCAAGAACAAACCTAGATCTCCCAAGAAATTCAAAATCAAGATAAGCCCTAAGACTCACCAAAACTCCTAATTAAAGACAAAGGACAATTACAAACTTCCTAAAACAGCCCCCAACATTCAAAATTTCCCTCCAAACGCACCCAAAACCACGCGGCTCTCCTCTGGTTTCCGCTCAGAACCGCGCTCCCCCTCTATTTTTCCGCCTGTAGTAACAGTGGACCGGTCCGGGCTGGACCGGTCCAGCCGGCCCCTCCTGGGCCGGCGTAATAGATTTTAAGATGAATAAATTCTATTTGAACGAGAAAAATTATATAAATGAAGAAGAAAATGATCACGAATGATTTGCTTTTAGATTTTATCATTTAAGTTTAGCTTTGGTGCTTTTATTTTCACTTTTAATTGTGATGCAAGCTTGAAGTTCCAACATTTTGCAACAAATTGCTGCATTATTTTTAATCTTTTGTTAATTTATAAATTATTAGAATTTTCAATTTGTTAGGTTACTTTTGAAGATCATCTTCCAATCAGGTATGTACATCCATGTCAAGGAAGTCAAAGGACTTCATACTTGTTGATACAAGACACTGACAAGGGAAGGCCTCATCGGAGGGCAGTACAAACGAACAAGTGCCTACTCGTACAGTGCACATCATAGGAGTAAGGCTCGCCATCATGGGCAGCAAACGAGCAGACTCGCCAGCTAGCGTTAAGAGGATGCAGGCCGGAGAAAGAAACTTAGCGTCCATCTCACAAGTCGCACGATCGAAATCGCCACTATCGCCTTCAACAAAGAAGATAGGCTAGCTAGAGGGAACCGGCATAATATTGTTATGTTCATCACAGCCCTCATCGCCAACTACCAAATTGACAGCATCCTGATAGACAAGGGATGTTCTGTGAACATTTTTTTTAAATGTATTTTTGATAAAATGAACTTGTCAGCTTCCTAGCTCACTTCTGCAAGACCATCTATGGTTTCTCTAGCGAGCACCAAGATACTGAAGTATTCGCCCTAACCAATACTTGGGTGCACGATGATGGTAGACTTCATCATCATCGACACCCTAACGACCTACAATTCCATATTAGGCAGACCTCAACTGAACACTTTCATGGTCTTAGCATCCATATATCATGTCGCAGTCAAATTCTCAACGAGAAAAAGGGAAATCCCAATGAGGCGACCTCACTCAATTGTGCACCTACTACTTGATAACATAAGGAAAGGTGGTGACCACCCAAAAGACATCCTCCAATTGGATGTGG